GTTTTCATTTGGTTCTCATTGAGGACCATGTTATCATATTGTGTTTGAAGAGATTCGTTTGCTTCTTTTAATTGACCTATCTTTTGCTTTTTCTTTTTGAGAGTATCTGCTGCTTGGATCACCAAATTATGTGTTAGTTCCAGTCGTCTGGCCACAACTATTGTCAAGCTTCCTAGAGTTTTAGTGGCCTCATGACCTTTGGTTGTGTGAATCACCACAGCCGTTGCTAACTTGACTGTGATCCGTTGTAGTTCATTAGAGCTCTGGTTTTTAATTTGGTCCAGATAATTAGGATTTGTTTCTGAGGTTTGATCTTCTAGGGCTTTTGTCAATAAAATTAATGGGTCTTCTGGAACAAGCTCTTCAGAATTACTTATGTCGGTCAAATCATCTGAATGGCTTTCAGCCGTGATCTTTATGTATACAAATGAACAAAGAGATTTAACTGTGTCCTAATTTGTGTGGGTTATCTGTATTGAATAGCTAGTTAGATAGATAGATGTTTAAGATATATTCAAAGCAAGATAAAATCAAATCAGTCTTAACCTGTTGGGTGTAAGAATTAGGTGTTCACTATTTTTGTGTAATTTAAAGTTTTGAAAAGATGAAAAGTTTAAAATTAGAAATCATGAGGTGTAAGATTTGGTTTGACCACTGGACCACCATTCATCTTATATGATAACATGTGGTTCCTTACTGGTCCAGCTTTGGGAATGGAGAGTCGGTCTTACTTTCAAAGTATCAAAAGAATAAAAGTTAATGATAGAACAACCTTGATGTGTCCCTACACATCTAATACTTATTACATATGTTAATCTTATTTATCATATAACATTTTACTATAACATTCATATATAATATATTTTTTGTTTACTAGATTGTTCAAATAACATACTCATAGTAAGTTAGATAGTTTCTCATCCCCATCAATCAGTTATATAAAATGTTTTCTCTAATCTGAAATAGTTTTCCCCATCTTAAATCATCCTTCTGTCTCTAAGGGACTCTCATAAGAATTGTTTTATACCACCATTGTATTTTTATTTAATGTTTTTCAGTCTACACCTTAGATTTATTACTGTTTGTCTTTTAAGTTTAATACTCTTGTTAAATAACTAATATATACACAGTGTTTTCTGCCAAGGACACTTAACTTTTATAGGAATATGTCATTATAACTGTTTCTAATCTACTAATATATTTATCACAATATTCCCCAAATACTTTTACCCTGGTTGGTTCAATTTCACAGACGTGTTTGAGTTCTCTCATTGATTTAATTTACTTTCACATGTAATAATACAAAATCTTGCAAGAAAAAAAAAACAACAAGGTCAGACGACACTGGTAGTCATTCTGTTTATCTAGGCGACAAGGCTGCAGTCAGTCTGATTCAGACACAACAACACGATAATCCACACACATGATACTTTGGTAAATGAAAAACATCTTTGACCTGTCACATTATCTTCAGAGAGACGGTCTTTGTGTGTTCATATACTCACATCAACTTGAGTGTGGAGATTTCTGTTTTCTGTCTGGGCTGCCAGTTTGAACTGTACCTGTTGGTCTTGAAAAGTTATTTAAATAAATTTTTGTTAATATAAAAAGGTCACTTACCAGTTTTATGCCTGATGTTTGATGATTTCCTCCGCCTTAGGTTTTATAAGTCTGTGTACATTTCCTGTCATAAAGTGACCTTGTACTAGATGGCTGATAAAGTTATCAGTTTCACGCTTATACATCTGTAAAGTAACCCATATTAGTTATACATTAATAAACATACTCTATCATTCATACAGCAGACAATAACTCACACTCCAACATCACTCATGCAACAAATATACATGGCATTTACAATGTTATATTTCCCTATTCCTGCCTAACTAAGGTTCTTGTCTGTCCCTCAACTTATAAAAACATATTTCCCTCACTGCCTATTCTAAAAAGCTATCTGTCCCTTTCTTTATTAAATCCATATATTCATCTGCAAAACTCTAATCCAGCAAAAAACATTTTACTCTCTTTTGACTATGAAAATAATCTCTATCTGTCCCTCTCTGTCTGTTCTAAATATTTCTAATTATCCCTATGTTAACCATAGCAACACTCCATATATTCTTCTTTAGGTACCTCTTCTAGATTCTTTCTAGGGATCATCCAAATTTTGGTGTATTTTAAGGATTATGCCATATCAGACGCACATCCTCGACCGAAAGTAGAAAAGAATAAAAAATATATAAATTAATAATAAATACATCGCTCAGGGATGCACTGCTGACCAGTCTGTTTTCCTGTGCTGCAGACCTAAGGAGGCTACAATAAACAGAAACCCGAGGTCATCACTTTCTTTCGAGGAGGTAGCAAATTCTCCCCACAGGCACCAAAAACCACGTAGAGTTTCTTCGAACTGTCACATGACCATACTTCTTGACGGTGTCCAGACGTCCAAGTTTTAATGCATTTCTAATAAACAGCGATGGGCAATTACACCTGGAACGTCTTTCGGACTGAGCACGCTTCTTGTAAAGATTCTACCTTCAGCAAAAATGGCGTCACAATTTTTACGTGGGGCTTTAAACCGTCAGCCACGTCGGATCCTCTGTATCTCTTCGATAAACAAATGACAATTTATATACAGGCATTTAAATCAACTGGACAAAGCTTAATTTTAGAGCAAAGTTAACGTTTCGCTTGTTTATAATGCTTCCAGCTCGCTCCCCGCGCTTCCAGGCGAAAAAACGTTACGTATATAAATTGTTACGTCCGATAAATACACTCACAAAATCACGTATTATACTATAACTTTGTACTGCCTTTTAGTTCACTGAACTGTGTGCACCAGACCAAAAACAGAGCAGCCTGAAGTCCTTAAGGGACATGCAGAAATTCTATTTAACAGGTTTTCTGCTTACCTCATGTTAAAAGCTGGCTGGAAACAGTCTGCTCCGACTCAGTCACCTGCCGCTGTGTCACCATTAAACAATAAGAAACGAGCTACCACTTCTAAAGACGGGAGACCTGTCACGGCACTAACTGTTGCGTTTGGATGAGGGCTGGCTGCGGGTCACCGGCCACCCAGAGGCCCCCCTCTCGGACCCTGGACCCGCCTCCAGCCCACGTCGCTTCCCCCCGGCTCGAATCTCCCTCAGAAGTGGCAACTCATACTAAACAATAAGGTTGTTTTCACACCTGATAGTCCGGTAGACTCGGTTCGAATGGGGACCAATATTCATAACATTTTGTTTACATTTGAGCTGGTGCGTTTGCATTCACACTGCGCTGTGCAGTTGAGCCAACCTGTTTGAACCAACCTGTTCCCCCACTCACCTGTGGTGGCGCTGCACCAAGAACTACTGAAAGAAACATCCTTATGCATGCTTAATAATCCAGGTTGAAAAATCTATAAAAGTTAAATCCGGTCCTCTGGATATAAAAAAAAAAAACAAAAAAAAAAAACAAAGCAAAACAACAACAAAAAAATTAGAAATGTTTCGTCTTTCATCCGAAAGACTTCCTCAGTCTGAGGTGCTGTATTCTGCTCAGTCTCCTAAATAGCACCTTCTCAGAATGAATCAACCAGTTTGCTGCTAACAACCAAAACCAGCTGCTCACATGGTCAAGAAGGACCATCAGCCTAACAATGGATCATTAGCACACTGATGGCTGTTTACTATTCACAGGAGGCTGAGTGATACTAGCAATAACAGCATTGTAAGAGGGGGACAGTTGAAATGTTGGACTTCCTGAGATTTAATTTTAACCCAGGTGTCGTCAACATACCTGAACCAATGACTTGGTGGTGTCCCTGAAAAGGACGTCAAGGCTTTCTTTTCAACCTCCTCCATGTACAGGTTGGCAACAATAGGAGAAACTGGAGACCCCATAGCACACCCAGGTTTCTGCCTATAATATTGCTCCCCATATGTGAAGTAGGTTGACTGCAGGCACAGTTTCAAGAGTTGACACAGTTGTTCTGTGGAAAGCATGGTCCTGCTGCTCAGAGTGGTGTCTGATTTTAATCTTAAACTGACCACCTCTACTGCATCATCAATAGGAATGCACGTAAAGAGTGATGTGATATCAAAAGAGACCATTGTTTCATCAGTCTCCATGATGACATTTCTCACCTTATCCACAAAGTCCATGGTGTTCTGTATATGGTGTTCTGAGCTGCCAACTAAAGGGATGAGTACAGACGCCAGATATTTGGAAATGTAAGTGACAGAGTTAATCATGCTAACAATTGGTCTTAAAGGTACATCTTTATTGTGGATTTTACAGACTGTATGGTTTACCTAAAATCATTTAGAAGTATCCTTTAGGCTCTAGAGCAATGTGGATATCCTAACTGGGCCTCTGAAAGCAGAGAAGAAACCCAAACAGGACTCCAGTCTGCCATCAGGTGAAAAGGAGGAAACCAGACCCAGTCCAGTGGTCATTCTGTATGTTGAGGGAGTATCAGCGAAACTGAGACGTGTATTTTCTAAACATAACGTCCCAGTGGCTTTTAAACCCCAAAATACATTACGGCAAAGACTG